AAATTATTGAGTTTAAACCAGTTTTGCATTTTCACAAATTCTGTTTGCATTTTCTCTAACATTCGTTCTAGATCTTTACCCAAACAAAAAAAGTGGTATCATCAGTGAACAAAATGCATTTAAATAATCCTGACACATTGACCAAGTCATTCACATATAGGATAAACTTCTTTGATCCAAGTACAGAACCCTGAGGAACTCCGCATGTGATTTCATACAGTTCAGATCTTAAAATCATGTACTTGTACAAACTGTTTCCTATTTTCCAAATAACTAGATATCCATTGTAATGCTGGTCCTCTAATACCATATTAATTTAGTTTTCCAAGGAGAATGCTGTGTTCAATCGTGTCGAATGCTTTCTTTAAATGTACAAAAAATACTGGTGCAATATTGTTTTTGATCAATAGCCTCTGTTATACTGTATATTCTGTYGGTTCCATAAGAGCCATTGAAGTAGAGTTATTGGCTCTAAAACCAGATGTTATTTTTAATGATGTAYTGATCTAATCTGATCACAAATAGCTTCTTTAAGATTTTTGAGAATTGTGATAATAAAGACATCGGTCTGAAATTACTAAACATACATTTCTCACCATTTTTATAAATAGGAATTACCTTGGCTATTTTCATGTAGTTTGGAAATGTTCCTGTTGAAAATGATAAATTACATACAGTATATATGTAAAGGGTTTAATAACATAACACATTGTTTCCTTAACAAACATCATATCTATGTTCACCAATCTCTTGACCTCTTATCCAACATTATTTTTTACAGTACTCATTATCTCTTCTTCATAAATTTCACCAACAAAGATGCTGTTTGCACAATCATATACAGTATTATTTCAGTCACGTCATCATCAGCTTTTGATATTTGAGCAGCAAGACTTGGACCAACATTAACAATGATTAAATTCTTTAGCTATTTCGTTTTGATCATAAAGTTCCTTATTATCTTTCACAAAGTGTTGTGATATCCCCGATGGTACTTTGTGCTTTTTTAAGACACTGTTCATGACTCCCCACGTTGCTTTTGTATCACCATTACTTTTAAATAATAAATCACTGTATCATCTGCAAACAAAACACATCTAAACAACCCCGACACATTTACCAGATCATTTACATACAAAAGACGTTCATCAGACAGAAAATAAAAAAACCTAAAGACAGTAAATTTATTTCAGCTGTGATAAGATCAGAACTGAGCAGGTAATAAAATCTGATTATAAAGCTTTTACCATCAGGCCACGCCCCCTCCTGAAAAACACAGCAACTCATTTCTGATTCACTCAGACCCACGTTTCCCAGCATGCTTTGCTTCCTGCTAGCATCCCATCAAGACCGCCTCCCACAGATCCTGTGTGTGTGAGCTGAAGGTGGGCGGAGCCTCATAGAAACAGCAGAACTGGTCCTTTAATGGACCTCAGAGCCTCCAGGAGATAACTGACCCATTTTACAACCAGAACAGGAAGTAAAGCTGCTTCCTGGACCCATCAGAACCACTGGAAAACAGAAACTGAGGGTTTTATTCAGTTTAAGTAAACCCCTGATCCTGGACCTGATCCCAGACCTGAACCTAGACCTGATCCTGGAGAAAATCCACAGGAACAAACACAGGTCCAAACCTAGGTCCACTGTAATGGTTCCACAGGTGGACCGGATCAGAGCTGTGGTTCTACAGGTGGACCGGATCAGACCTGTGGTTCTACAGGTGGACCGGATCAGACCTGTGGTTCTACAGGTGGACCGGATCAGACCTGTGGTTCCACAGGTGGACCGGATCAGAGCTGTGTTTCTACAGGTGGACCAGATCAGACCTGTGGTTCTACAGGTGGACCGGATCATAGCTGTGGTTCTACAGGTGGACCGGATCAGAACATACCTGACTGGCCCATCACGGCTCCAATAAGCAGCAGCAGACAGAGTATCAGGACGGACCGGTTCTCCATCTTGGACTCGGGTCCTGGGACGCAGCTGGAGTGAAGAGGCTCGGCTCGGTCTGAGAGTCTCAAGTGATCCTGGTGGACCCGCGGCTTGGTTCTGTTAATCAGTAACKGAACAGCTACTCCCTCAGTGGCTCCTGTTCTGCAGAAAACCACCGACCCGATCAGGGTCCAGACCTGCCTCATGCTCCGTTGTCATGGWAACCAGAACCAGATCTTCTGCCTGAGTCATCAGATTTACAGAAACATCCACTTTCATCTGGTTCTGATCCAGCTGGTTCTGAAACTGAAGACAGATTGAGCTTCAGCTGCTTTAATAGGAAGCAGACCAAATATGGTCAGAGCAGGAAGTCAGGTCCAGTTCTGTTGGGGTAAAGACCTGAGGTTTTGCTCCTCCAGTACGTCTGACTGGATCAGAACACATTGTGGGGCGACTGTGTCCTACAGGAGGTTCTGAAAGTTCTGAGGTAAATCTTTATTCCACCTCTGGGCAGAACCATGGTGCATGGCAGCCTCACCTCTGTCAGTGTGCCCCCGGGCTGCTGAGGCTACAGTGTAGCTTAGCACCATCAGTTTGAATGTGTGACTGGGTGAAAACCTGGAACTATTTTGGGGTCCGACTGGACTTGATAAAGAGTTATATAATTTCAGACCACTGACCATTTAAAGGTTTTCAGACATTTCCAGATGCTACCGGGGGCTGTTTTACTTAAAACCAGGGTGTCGGACAACTTCCTCTGGTTCTTACCTTCAGCATGACACCTTACATCAGGGGTGTCAAACTCCAGTCCTCGAGGGCCGCTATCCTGCATGTTTTAGAGGTTTTCCAGCTCCAACACACCTGATTCAGTGATTGAATTAACTCTTCAAATTGGGCAGAAGCCTGTTAATYACCCAGCGATCAAAATCTGGTGTGTTGGTGCAAGAAAACCTCTAAAACATGCAGGATAGCGGCCCTCGAGGACAGGAGTTTGACATCCCTGGGTTAAAACATCCCTAACCAGCCTGTAAAAAGACCGATAAAAATCATCTTTTTACAGGCTGGTTAGAGATGTTTTAACCGAGCCATGTTGTTACACATCCCTCCACACGGACAACGTTCAAACTGCCTGCAGCTAGAATTTTCCTTTCTCAAGTTATGACTAAAATTAATCTTAAAAAACATGTTGCTTCCTGCCTGACTCGACCAAGATACTCCCTGCTGCCTCCAGCCTCCTCAAACCCCACCGTCAATTCGACCAATCACAAGTAGGGCCGTCTCCACCCACATCAAGACCTGCGCCAATCATGAGTAGGGCCGTCTGCACCCACATCAAGACCTGCGCCAATCATGAGTAGGGCCGTCTGCACCCACATCAAGACCTGCGCCAATCATGAGTAGGGCCGTCTGCACCCACATCAAGACCTGCGCCAATCAYGAGTAGGGCCGTCTCCRCCCACAGGACAACATGTACTGCAGMGACCCCTAATTGCCATCTTTGGCCACTGCCCATGACATCATGCACCTGACTCGTACTGCCCCTCCTGCAGGTGGTGGGCCCACAGGAAGGCAAACCCGTGAAACTCATTAAGGCTGAGCCTGGCCAGGTCCCATGGGTAGAGAACTGGACACCAGTTGCTTAGTCCCTCCCCCAGGCTTGGATTTAGGGTGGGGCCAATATTAACCCACATCTGGGCAAAGGACACCGAGTTCCTTTTGTGTCCAWAAGAGTCTGTTGATTCCTACATTGTCTGGTCTGTCACCTGGGACCAGTCTGCCATGGGAGACCCTACCAGGGACAACTGAAATGGTCCTTGACTCCTAGGATCCTTCAGGTGCACAAACTCCACCACGATAAGATGATGATTCAACGGAGGAGAAATTAAAATTAAAAGGATTAGTTTTTTTATTTCTGAGTTAAGTGATTCTGTTTGATCAGAACAAAAACAAGTCCAGAGTTTATTTATTTTTTTATTAACAGATTTTATTAGTCAACAATAAATTTCAGACTGATTTTATTCTAAATCTTTTTGGTAACTTTCTGTAAAGCTTAAAATATAATAAAGGTTTTTATTTGACAGGGTTCTGATGTTCTACAGCAGAACACACGAGGAGGACGACTTGGTTCTGAATGGACTCATCAGGTTCAGGTTGAACTGGGCCGGGTTGAAGTCCCGCAGGTCCGACACGCAGGTCTGCTGTCCGTCCCGGTCCTTGGCCCTGGAGGTGACCCGGTACTGGGCCTTGACGTTTCTCAGAGGGTTGTAGTCCGGACTGATGTGGTTCGGACAGCGGAAGGTCTCCCTGATGACAGAACCCAGCCGGGACAGACCCACAAAACCATTCCTGAAGGGCAGCATCCGGACCACCGGAGAGTAGACGAACTGAACGAACAGCAGCTTCCCTGAAGAGACCAGAACTTACAGAACCACACAGACTTGGGTTAGGACCACAAACAGAACGGTCTTACCGGAGTCCACGTCCCAGACTCTGATGGTCCTGTCTAAAGATCCGGTGAAGACGAACTGGTCGCTGTCGGAGAAGGCAGCGCAGAGGACCCCCTCGAAGAACAGACACTGAGCCAAGAGTTAAAACACCGTGAGTTACAGAACCCTGATCCAGACCCAGACCCTGACCCAGACCTCTGACCTTGTACTCCATGGTGTGGKCCAGGACCAGTGGGTTCAGGGACCACACTCTCTGCACGGCGTCCTCAGACCCCACCAGGGCGTGAGCCCCCCAGTTGCTGGCTGTCACGCAGGAGACTCTGCTGCAGTGAGGCTGCAGCTCAGACCCCTCCCCGCTGACCAAGTCCTGCAGCTGCACCGCCCCGCAGACGGTCCCGTACAGGAGCCGGCGGTCTGGCAGCAGGGCCATGGAGGACAGGGGGGCATGGAGGAGAGACAGCGCGGTCCTCCTCAGGGGTCCCTCCACCGTGGGGAAGCTGTCTCTGGTGGTCATCTCGAACAGACACACCGAGTCCTCGTAGGCCACCGCCAGGTGCCTCTCCTCAGAGCTGACCGCCAGGCACAGGACCCGGGACCGGCTCTCGGGGGGCGGGATGCACAGGGTCTCTTGGGGGAGGTTCAGGGGGTAGATGAGGACGGTCCCGCTGGTCAGACCACAGAGCAGCAGACGTTTGTGCTGTGCCAATTCCAGGCAGGAGACCTCCGCTGAGACCGCCAAACGGTCCGACACAGAACCTGCAGAGGACAGGTCAGGGTTCAGTCGGGAACAGAACCAACCAGAACCATAGAGAACCAAACAGAACCATAGAGAACACAACAGAACCATAGAGAACCCAACAGAACCATAGAGAACCATAGAGAACCCAACAGAACCATAGAGAACCTAACTGAACCCAACAGAACCATAGAGAACCCAACAGAGCCCAACAGAACCAACCAGAACCATAAAGAACCAAAGAGAGACCAACAGGACCCAACAGAACCTTGTATGTGGAACAGTTTATAAGTCTGTCATCAGGTCTCAGATCTTTCAGAACATCAAACATCTGGTTAAAATCTGCTATGGAGTTAAAGTTCTGGTTCCGGCCCGTGGATTTCTGTCTCTCTTGGTAAGAGCACAGAGTTCAAAGAAAGACCTGAAAGACCTCCAGAACCAGAACTGATATCTAGACTGGATCAGAACCGATCAGAACTTCAGAACCAGAACTGATGATCCAGACTGGATCGGGACCGATCAGACCCTCGGAACCTGTGGAAGGATTTGTTAGAACCCTCAGAACCTGAGGAAGGATTGGTTAGAACCTTCAGAACCTGAGGAAGGATTTGTTAGAAACTTCAGAACCTGTGGAAGGATTGGCTAGAACCTTCAGAACCTGAGGAAGGATTTTTTAGAACCTTCAGAACCTGTGGAAGGATTGGTTAGAACCTTCAGAACCCGAGGAAGGATTTGTTAGAACCTTCAGAACCTGAAGAAGGATTGGTTAGAACTCTCAGAACCTGAGGAAGGATTTGTTAGAGCCTTCAGCACCTGAGGAAGGACTGGTTAGAACCCACAGAAACTGAGGAAGGATTTGTTAGAACCCTCAGAACCTGAGGAATGATTTGTTAGAACCTTCAGAAACTGAGGAAGGATTTGTTAGAACCTTCAGTACATGAGGAAGGATTGGTTAGAACCCTCAGAACCTGAGGAATGATTTGTTAGAACCTTCAGAACCTGAGGAAGGATTGGTTAGAACCCTCAGAACCTGAGGAAGGATTTGTTAGAACCTTCCGTACTTGAGGAAGGATTGGTTATAACCCTCAGAACCTGAGGAAGGATTGGTTAGAACCCTCAGAACCTGAGGAGGGATATGTTAGAACCTTCAGAACTTGAGGAAGGATTGGTTAGAACCCTCAGGACCTGAGGAAGGATTTGTTAGAACATTCAGAACCTGAGGAAGGATTGGTTAGAACCTTCAGAACCCGAGGAATTGTTTAGAACCTTCAGAACCTGAGGAAGGATTGTTTAGAACCCTCAGAAACTGAGGAAGGATTGGTTAGAATCTTCAGAACCCGAGGAAGGATTGGTTAGAACCTTCAGAACCTGAGGAAGGATTGTTTAGAACCCTCAGAACTTGAGGAAGGATTGGTTATAACCCTCAGAACCTAAGGATTGTTTAGAACCCTCAGAACTTGAGGAAGGATTGGTTATAACCCTCAGAACCTGAGGAAGGATTGGTTATAACCCTCAGAACCTGAGGAAGGATTGGTTATAACCCTCAGAACCTGAGGAAGGATTGGTTATAACCCTCAGAACCTGAGGAAGGATTGGTTATAACCCTCAGAACCTGAGGAAGGATTGGTTAGAACCCTCAGAACCTGAGGAAGGATTGGCTATAACCTTCAGTACCTGAGGAAGGATTGGTTAGAACCTTCAGAACCCGAGGAAGGATTGGTTAGAACCTTCAGAACCTGAGGAAGGATTGTTTAGAACCCTCAGAAACTGAGGAAGGATTGTTTAGAACCTTCAGAACCTGAGGAAGGATTAGTTAGAACCCTCTCTGACCCGTGGTGCTGCTCCAGCTGAGGACCTCCCTCTGGCTCTGCTGCTGGACGTAGAAGACTTGATCTCCGTCTCTGGTGATGGCGGTGTGGGCGGAGCCAGCTGGGATGCGGGCYGTGGGTTTGTGGCTGGTGTCGTAGTCCAGGTTCCACAGCTGGATGGAAGCCTCAGCAGTCGAGGCTGAGATCACCAGCTGCTGGTAGAAGAAGACCGAGGTCACTGGAGCGTTGCACCCACACAGGGAGTCCAGCAGGGCTCCGGTGGTCAGGGACCAGATCTGCTGAGGACAAACAGACGTCAGCTTTCAGAAACACAAGGTCTGCTTCATGTTGGACAAGGTTCAGGGTCTGAGTCTCACCCGGACCAGCTGGTCTGCTGCTCCAGAGACCAGACGTTTACCGTCTGAAGACACACAGGCAGACAGAACCACGTCCTCATGCTGCAGGTCAAGGAACCCGTCCACAGAATCCGTGTTGATGTGGAATAGGCTCAGAGTCCGCTCGCTGCCTGAGGACCACACGAACATCTCAGATCTCTGGAAACAACACGTTTTCTTCTGAGACCAAGTTCAAAAGTTCAAACCTGCCAGCAGGACGGTTTCATCTTCAGTAACAGAAAACAAAGATGGACACAAAGGAAACACTGCCATCGTTTGTTTACCTGACCTGGAGATCTGGTAGACAACAACAAGAAACATCTTCTTCAGTCTACTGTAAATGTGCAGAGACTTAATACAATGGATGGATGGATGGATGGATGGATGGATGGATGGATGGGTAAAACCTGACCTGGTGGATGAACCCCTCCTCTGACACCACCAACACTTTGTCATGTTTGGGTAATGTCACAGAGCTCAGTGGACTCAGATTCTTTGCCGGTTCCTCCAGCTGAATCTCCACACTTTGGTTTCTGTTCACCAGGTCACAGATTCTGACTTGAACAGAGTCCCAAAGGGACACCACAGAGTCCCCCAGAACTCCCAGGACCACTGAGGACTCCTCACCGCTGTCTGGGATCTCAGTCCCATCCAGACTCCAAACCTTCACCTGAAACACAACCACGCCTTGAAGATTAGAGACCACACCTCCTAAAAAATACCTGAGAAATCACACACCAAAAATACACCTGAGAAAAAAACCACACCCCCTGAAACACACCTGAGGTGAAACCACACCCCCTGAAATACACCTGGGGAGAAACCACACCCCCCTGAAACACACCTGAGAAACCACACCTCTAAAACACACCTGAGGTGAAACCACACCCTAAAGTACACCTGAGGAGAGACCACACCCCCTGAAACACACCTGAGGAGAAACCACCCCCCTGAAACACACCTGAGGTGAAACCACACCCCTAAAGTACACCTGGGGAGAAACCACACCCCCTGAAACACCTGAGGAGAAATCACATACCATAAAATACACCTGAGGAGAAACCACACCCCCTAAAACACACCTGAGGTTATACCACACCCCTAAAATACACCTGAGAAGAAACCAGACCCCCTAAAACACACCTGAGGTTAAACCACACCCCTAAAATACACCTGAGAAGAAACCACATCCCCTGAAACGCACCTGAGGAGAAACAACATACTCTAAAATACACCTGAAGAGAAACCACACCCCTTGAAACACACCTGAGGTGAAACCACACCCCCTGAAACACACCTGAGGAGAAACCACACCCCCAATACACACCTGAGGTGAAGCCACACCCCTAAAATACACCTGAGAAGAAACCACACCCCCTGAAACACACCTGAGGATAAACAGACTGTAGTAGACTCCGCCCTCTACCTACCTGTGTCCAAGTGTGAACCACCATCACCTGCTCTGACTCAATCAGGTGAACAGCTGAGGGGGCTGAGTTAATAGACACTGCCTCCAGGACGCAGAGCAACTGTTGGCCACTTGTTAGGCTCCACCTCCTCAGAGAGCCATCAGCAGCCAATGAGAGGCAGTGGGAGGAGCTTTCATTGATCTTCACAGAGAAAATCAAAGCTGCAGAAACATTAAAAAGCTTTCATTAAACAGGACCGAGCTCAGAACTGTTTTAAACATCTGGCTTCTGTTGGACTCACCTGTATGTCCCAGCAGAGTGTGCAGGAGCTGATGGTCCACGAGGCTCCAGACCGCCACCACGCCATCATCAGAACCTGAAACCAGCAGCTGGACTACAGCGCTGACATCCACACAAACCAGACCTGAGACACAACCAGGGTCAGAAAATCCTCAGGTTTGTACTGAAAAACTGATCCTCATCTGGTCTTTGAGGGTTTCTAAAGAACTTTGGAGGTTTCTTTGATGCCTGAAGGTCTTTGTGTGTTTCTGAAAGTCTCTGAGGGTTTCTGAAGGTCTCTGAGGGTTTCTGAAGCTCTCTATGGGTTTCTGGAGGTCTCTGTGGGTTTCTGAAGGTTTCTGAGGGTTTCTGAAGGTCTCTGAGAGTTTCTGAAGGTCTCTGTGGGTTTCTGAAGGTCTCTGCGAGTTTCTGAAGGTCTCCGTGGGTTTCTGAAAGTCTCTGAGGGTTTCTGAGGGTCTCAGGGGTTTCTGAAGGTCTCTGAGTGTTTCTGAAAGTCTCTGAGGGTTTCTGAAAGTCTCTGGGGGTTTCTGGAGGTCTCTGAAGGTCTCTGAAGGTCTATGAGGGTTTCTGAAGGTCTATGGGGGATTCTAAAGGTCTATGGGGGGTTTCTTTGGTTTCTGAATGTCCCTGTGGGTTTCTGGGGGTCTCTGGGGGCTTCTGAAGATCTCTGGGGGCTTCTGGAGGTCTCTGGGGGCTTCTGAAGATCTCTGGGGGTTTCTGAAGGTCTCTGGGGGTTTCTGAAGGTCTATGGAATTTCCAAAGGTCTCTGAAGGTTTCTGAAGGTCTCTGAAGGTTTTTGGAAGTCTATGGGGGTTTCTAAAAGTGTATGCGGGTTTCTTTGGTATCTGAAGGTCTTTGAGAGTTTCCGAAGGTCTCTGGGGGTTTCTGAAAGTCTCTGGGGGTTTCYGATGGTCTCTGGGGKTTTCTGATGGTCTCTGGGGGTTTCTGAGGGTCTCTGGGGTTTCTGATGGTCTCTGAAGGTTTCTGAATGTCTATGGGAGTTTCTGAAGGCCTATGGGGGATCCCGGAATCTGTTTCACTTGAAGTATTTGAACAAGTTAGTTTCTGACCTCCATGCGGAGCAGACAGCGTGTGCTGTAGGGCSCCCCCTGGCTGCTGCAGGAAGCTGTTCTTTGGGATCAGAACCGGTTCTGGACTGGTCTGGAGCTGGTTCTCACACTGGCTGCACAGCTGACGAATGACAGCGGGACAGGAGGAGGACAGAGAGGACAGGCGGGCCAGCAGCTCCGAGTAAAACACAGACTCGTCTAACACCATAAAGAAAAAACACATTAGGACTCCAAGTCCAGGTCCAAACAGAACCAAACCTTAGAGATGGCTCACACTGACCCATGTGACCATGCAGGAAGTCCAGGCTGGGCTTCATCAGAACCAGAGTGTCCTGGATCAGTCCAGTTTCAAAGCAGTCCATGTACTTGGAACACCGGTCCAGATCGTAGATCACACTGGAAACCCCAAGGACCTGGGCCTGACAGTACAACCACTCAGCATTGCCTGTGGGGAACCAGAACCACTGGGTCAGCTGAAACCACAGAGAACAGAATCATGTGAGCTGTGATCTCTGAGGGTTTCTGAAGGTCTATGGGGGTTTCTTTGGTTTCTGAAGGTCTCTTGGGCCATGGACTATGTAGCCCATGGTCTACATGGACCGTGGTCTTTGTGAGCTGTGGTCTATGTGGGTCGAGGACTATGTAGTCCATGGTCTGCGGTCTACATGGGCCATGGTCTATGTGGGCTGTGGACTATGTGATCCATGGTCTACATGGGCCGTGGACTACATGGTCCATGGTCTACATGGTCCACAGTCTACATTGTCTGCGGTCTTTGTGGGCCATGGTCTACATGGGCTGTGGTCTTTGTGAGCCGTGGTGTACATGGGCCTTGGACCACGTAGTCCATGGTCTACATGGGCCATGGTCTTTGTGAGCCATGGTCTACATGGTCCACGGTCTAGATTGTCTGCGGTCTTTGTGAGCCGTGGTCTACATGTGCCTTGGACTACATGGTCCATGGTCTACATGGTCTGCGGTCTATGTGGGCCATGGTCTACATGGTCTGCAACACCTGAATTGAGACACTTCTTTTGAGTCCATGATTTCCTGTTTCTGTTACCTATAACTTCCTGTCGTAGCTCCTCCCACAGGCCGGCATGCAGCAGGTGATAGGTCAGCTCCTGGAGCTTCCTGATGTTAGCCAATCCGGGAGCAAGCCACAACGGCTGGGGCGGGGCCTGTAGCAGCAGAGGACCAATCAGAGTTTCTGATCAGGTTCACCTGAAGCTTCTTTACATAAAATCTGTTAAACTATTTAACGGTTCTGGTGGAACCAAAGACCAGCCGGTGACCATCTGTGGGACCCYAACCAGGACTTTTAGATCCGCTGATCACATAATCAAACCGATGATGATGATGATGTTCTTCATCAGGTCATTGGTACCTTTCTGTCAGACAGCAGCAGAGTCAGACCTGGTAGAGATGCTGGCTTCAGTTTCCCAGACCACCGACCTGAGAAGTACTCAGCCAGGATCCTGTGACTCCGCCCCCGGCGCTCTGAGGTCAGGTAGTGGGTGGAGACTGCCTCAGAGAAGATCCTGAATACATTCCAGAAATACAATCTTTTTTTTATATTCGTGTTCTGATCAGTAAACTAGAACCTAAATGTGTTCAGGTCCAAAGAACAGAACCGGATCAGATCAGAACCAAAGGTCTTTAACTTAATCAAGGTGTGGGACGAGCCAGGCTCAGCTCGTCCTCGTGCTCCAGATAGACTCTTCCCCGCGTTCTCTTCTTAGAGCCTTCAGCATTTACTGAACCTTTATTTTGAAATTCAGTGAGATATTAAGATTTTTGATTACTTTTTCCACACACACACTGGTCATTAGCTCATCATTTGTTTCAAAATTAAAGAGCTATCTGCAGCAGGTAAGATGTTGATTATTTATGTTTATCTGATCATCTGATTGGTTGATTGATTATCTGATCATCTGATTGGTTGATTGATTATCTGATCATCTGATTGGTTGATTGATTATCTGATCATCTGACTGGTTACCGGCTGCTGAAGGTGAGGGTAGCGACTCCATAAGTCCAGCGTTCCTCCAGCTGGTCCTGGAGGTCCCGTCTGAGCCGGGCCCACAGGATGGGGGGCAGCCGTATCAGGGAGGGGATTGGAGGGAGGGAGTATCTGTASACCTCGCTGATGACATCATCATCCAGGGACAGGACATCACGTAGCTCCACCTCCAGCAGGCCTTCCCTGTGGCATCACCAGCAGAATTTAAACTTTTTACTGTTTCTAATAAAAACATTTGAACAAAAAAAACATCAAAACAACAAAAACKGATCAAATAAATCCTGGAAGTTTGTTGTTTAAATAAAGTTCTTCCTGCAGTTTTTACAGAAGAATAAATCGAAACACTTCTCACCTGGCTAAAGCKATGTAACCCAGAGCTCCGCCCACCAGCTCCCTCCCATGTTTAGCCTCCAGCCTCAGCAGGAGCTGCGATGTCACTTCCTGTGCGCTGGCGCCCAGCAGCAGCTGGGTGGGCGGGGTGAAGGAGCTCCAGCGTTTGGCGACAGACAGGATGAGTTTCAGGTGGGCGGGACTTCCGGTGGACAGGAAGCTCTGCAGCACGGCCTCTTTCTGCTCGGAGGTTAAAGTCCTCTGAGAYGCTTGCAGGTACGACGCCATGATGTCCTCACCTTCCTGACGGGAMAAACGGTCCACCTCGAAGCAGCCCTGCATGGAGCCCAGCTTCAGCCTCATGTTGGCCAACGCCTCGCTGCTGGTCTCCATGGATACCAGCAGGTGGACRTTGGGGGGGACGTCGGCCGGCAGCCAGCGCAGACTGTGGGCCTGATGTCGGTCTGAGAGCTGGTCCAGAGAGTCCAGGACGATGAGCAGAGTGGTGTCCTGCCCAGAGACGTCCTCCAGCAGGTTCCTGAAGAACCGCAGCAGCTCCAGGTGATCCATCAGAGAAGGGGGCGGAGCCAGACCACGTGCCAGACAGATCTGCAGGCAGACGCTGCGAAGGACATCGTCAATGTCTGGTCTCTGAGGATGACGAGCCGCCAGCAGCCTGATCACCGGCACTGCCCTGGACTCCAGGACCCCCTGCATCTCCTGCACCAGTTTACAGAGCAGGGCGGTCTTTCCCATCCCCGCGGCGCCGTGGACCACCACCGGACCGTGGCGGCCTGCGGTGGACTCCCACATGGCCAGGCAGATCCTACCCAGGAGTCCCTCTCTGCCGTGGAACCCTCGACTCCGGTGGGCGCTCATGATGGCGTGCTGCCTCGCCTCTTCAACCACCTGCTCCTCCTCTTCCTCACCTCTTCCTCTGATCTTCCTCTTCCCCTCCAATGGACCAATCACAGCCTGGATCTGCTCTTTGATCTGTGAGACAAACTGCTGACAGAGTCTGTCCAGGTACTGAGCGTGCTCCCGCCGCTTCGGGTCCACGTTCCCTCTGCTCAGGTCCACACAGTGCAGGCTCAGGACCCGAGACCCCTCAGAGACCCGGGTCTTCAGCTTGGACAGAAGCTCCTGGGCCTCAGCGTCCAGAAGACCATCAAACGTCGTGTCCATTAACCTGGTGAGACGTTTGGGTCCATCCCTAATCTTCTGCCGGGGACTCTCTCGGATGAAGAGTAGAGGCGACTCGCAGTCCCCCGTCCACAAACCGTCCTCAAACTCCTTCTCTGTGACTGAGGGACAAGAAGACATGTTGGTTCTGAGAGACAGAGGACAAAAAGACATGTACGCTCTGAGAGACTAGAGGACAAGAAGACATGTTGGTTCTGAGAGACTAGAGGACAAGAAGACATGTTGGTTCTGAGAGACTAGAGGACAAAAAGACATGTAGGTTCTGAGAGACTAGAGGACAAGAAGACATGTTGGTTCTGAGAGACTAGAGGACAAGAAGACATGTTGGTTCTGAGAGACTAGAGGACAAAAAGACATGTAGGTTCTGAGAGACTAGAGGACAAGAAGACATGTTGGTTCTGAGAGACAGAGGACTAGACATGTTAGCTCTGAGAGACTAGAGGACAAAAAGACATGTTGGTTCTGAGAGACTAGAGGACAAAAAGACATGTTGGTTCTGAGAGACTAGAGGACAAAAAGACATGTTGGTTCTGAGAGACTAGAGGACAAAATGACATGTTGGTTCTGAGAGACTAGAGGACAAAATG